AAATCCCCCCATCATTCCGCGCCAACAAGATCCCCACCTTCTCGGGCCAACCCCATGAGGACATTCTTCTCTTCCTCACCAAACTCCAACAAGCCTTCTTCCTCCACGCCATCCCTGTCATCCACTGGCTCCCCATCGCTGGCAGCCGACTCCTAGACAACGCGGCTTGTTGGTGGTACACCGAAATGTCTAATAGCCACCACTCCGGTCTCGGACCTCACACCTTCCTTGAGTGGGCCACCCTCATCACCTCCACCTTCCGCCCACAGAAAACGGTCGACGACTATATCGACCAACTCTGTCGGCTCCAACAAAACGGCCTAACCGACCGTTTTGTGCAATACGTCCGCTCGGTTCGTCAACATATCCCCGTTGATGTCGTCAGCGATTTCGCCTTCATCTCCCGCGTTAAGCGCGTATGCTGCAAAGACCTAGCGGCCGCCCTTGTCCACGAGCCCCCCATGACCCTCGCCGACCTCCTCACTCGTACCCTCCAACTCGATCACATCCTCTCCCTCTACAAGACCACACTTACATCGGCCCCTCCCCGCCCTCACTTCTTCCACAACGTCGCCTCCGAGGACACCACCTCCACCACCTCCTCGGACGAGTTCACTACACCTAGCGGCCGCCCTTGTCCACGAGCCCCCCATGACCCTCGCCGACCTCCTCACTCGTACCCTCCAACTCGATCGCATCCTCTCCCCCTACAAGACCACACTTACATCGGCCCCTCCCCGCCCTCGTTTCTTCCACAACATCGCCTCCGAGGACACCACCTCCACCACCTCCTCGGTCGAGTTCACTACACCGGACCCCGACGCATCTTTTGATTCACTCGACTCTTCATCCCTCTCTTCCGAGGAACTCAATGTCGTCCAATTCATGAGGATGGAGCGCAGAGATCGCAGCTCTCGAACACCCTCATCTACCCCACCCTCCCGCCTCAAGAAACTCACCCCCGAGGAGCGCACCTACCTCCAAGCAAAAGGGGGTTGCCTCCGTTGTCGCCAATTGGGGCACCAACAAACCAACTGCCCCAACGCCGCACAATTCACCCTCCAGTCCACCTCCACTCGACCCGCAACCTCCGCATCACCGCCCTCGGCAAGAGCGGGTCCCTCCTCATCATATACACAGTCTCCAGGACATTGACCCGGCATCGACACCGCGTCCGTCGGCCACCCATCGGTGACGTCCTCCGTCCCACCGATAGCTCATTTAGCATCGGCCATTCGTCTGCCAACCCCTCCTCCGGTGACGCACATCCCATCAGACAATCTCCAGGCGTCGCAGTCTACTCCGCCTGCCCCCCTCGCGACGATGTCCCCTATTCCGTCGGATGAACCCTCCACTGCCAGGTGTTCTTCCACCCTCCTCCCTAACCCATCCGCCACCACTTTCACAGATCTTGTTGAGGAACGAGCCCGACACGATCGACTCATTAGGTTAGGCCTCGAGCAACGCCGCCTCAACACTATGATCTCCTCTGCTTGTGCCGGATCCGCACAGTTCCAGCTCAAGTTCATTCCCGTTTCCCTCGGTGCATCGACGGTGAAGTTTCGGGCCCTCCTTGATATTGGTGCCACCGGCAACTTCATCACCTACGCCTGTGTCCACAAAGTCGGCTTATCTTCCACCGGCTATGACTCCCCGGTCACTATTCGCCTAGGGGATAAGGACTCAACCGTCGTCGTCGATCGCACAGTCCCTGAGACCACCATGACTGTCGGCCCCCTTCGCAGTCAGGTCTCCTTCGATGTCATGCACCTTATGTGTGACATCGTCCTAGGGACCCCGTGGCTTGACTGGTACATGCCCTACTCATTCCACCCCTCCTTTATCCGCCTCACCAACCCTCCCGACTCTCCCATTGACATCCCCTACCTTCTTCCCCCTTCCACCCCACCCCCCGTCTCCCCACATCAATTCCTCCACATGTCTCGTGAACACCCTGACTCCGCTTACTATTACCTTGTCATCGACCGCGAGCGTCCCGAAAACTTGCTTCCAACGGACAAACCCGACCAAGATCCTCCTTTTGATCCCCACATCACCGCCCTCCTCTCCGAATTCAAAGATGTCTTCCCCGAGTCCTTGCCCGCCGGTCTACCTCCCGATCGCGGTGTATCCCACACCATTGATCTCGAGCCCGGCCACTCTCCTCCTTGTCGCCCCCCGTACCAGCTCTCCGTCCCCGAGGCCGAAAAGATGAAGCGACAACTTAATGAACTCCTTGAGAAAGGATTCATTAAGCCTAGCTCCTCCCCCTTCCGAACCAGCTGTCTCTTCGTTAAGAAGAACGACACCTCGGAACTCCGCATGTGCACAGACTACCGTGCCCTGAACCGGATCACGATCAAGAACAAGTACCCACTCCCTCGCATATCTGAGCTTCTTGATTGCCTCTGTGGAGCCAAGTATTTCACCAAGATTGATCTCCGCAGTGGCTTCCACCAGATCCGCATCCGCGAGAAGGGCACTCAAAAGACCGCCTTTCGCTCTCGCTTCGGGTACTATGAGTTCCTCGTAATGCCCTTCGGACTCACCAATGCCCCCGCCACATTCCAATCTACCGTTTCGCGACCTCCTCGAAGTTTGTGTCGTGATCTACCTTGATGATATCCTCGTCTTTAGCCCCACCTTCGAATCCCACCTCGAACACCTTCGCAAAGTTCTCTCAATCCTTCGAGAACAGAAGTTCTACGCCAAGCTCAGCAAGTGTACATTTGCTGCCCCTAGCGTAGAATACCTTGGTCACATTGTCTCGGTCGACGACATCCGCATGGACCCCAAAAAGGTCTCCACCCTCGTCGAGTTCCCACCTCCCTCCATCTTGACCCGGCTTCGCTCATTCATTGGACTCGCCAACTATTACCACCCCTTCATTCAAAACTTCTCTGACGTCTCCTACCCTCTCCATGAGCTCACCCGCCCCACTGAGTCCTTCACATGGATTGAACACCGCCAAGCCTCTTTCGACAAACTCAAGCAACTCATCACCACCACCCCCGTCCTCAAGATCGCTGACCCCACTCGCCATTGCTTCGTCACCACTGATGCCTCAGACTTCGCCATTGGGGTTGTCCTGTCCCAGCATTTCCCTCCTGACCCCACCGAGATCCCCTCTGTCAAAGATTCCCCTACTCACTCAAAGTCCCCACCCGGCGAACTCCCCATTGCCTTCGCTAGCAAGAAACTCCTTCCCGCGGAGACGAATTACCCCTCCAACGAGAAGGAACTTCTACGCCCTCAAAGTCTGGCGCCCGTACCCCGACGGGCAATACTTCACCATCCACATTGACAACACAGTCGTCTCCTCCATCCTTACTAAGAAAGACATCMCCCCCCGCCAGGCCCGATGGCTAGACTTCCTTGCCCGATTTACCTTCACCATCTGCCACACCCCCGGCAAAAGCAACCGCGTTGCTGATGCCCTCTCCTGCCCCCCCAACCACAAGCCCCCTGAGAAAGTCTACGCTGCCACGACCCACATTCAACTTCTTCCCTCGTTACATCGCCGCTACACCCAAGGTTACCTCTCTTGCCCAGACTTCGCTTCCATTTACTACCAACTCCACAACCTTGACTCAGTCCCTGACTATTCTCTCCATGACAATCTACTCTACATTGACACCAAGGGCACTCGCAGACTCTGCATCCCTGACACACGTGGTCTTCGTACCCAGCTCTTGTCCGAGCACCACGACGCCAAGACTGCTGGCCACCTTGGTTTCTAGAAAACCTTCGACACCATCTCCCGCTACTTCCATTGGCCTTCTCTACCGACGTCAAAGCATACATCCGCTCGTGCCCCACCTGTCCGGTCGTTAATCCCTCGAACTGGGCCAAGCCCGGCAAGCTCCAATCATTGCCCATCCTTACCCACCGGTGGCAATCCATCTCCATGGACTTCGTGTGCGGCCTCCCCAAGACTGACCGTGGGCATGATAGCATCTACATCATTGTTTGTCATCTGACCAAACGCGCCCACTTCAGTCCTTGTACCACCTCGCACAATGCCAAAGACATCGCCATACTCTTCTTCGATCATGTCGCCCGCCACCACGGTCTCCCCGAGAACATCATCAGTGATCGCGATCCCCGCTTCCTATCACAGTTCTGGAAACACCTCTTCCAAGCCTACGGAACCACGCTCAAGTATTCCACCCCCAGACCGATGGCCAGACCGAGAAGATGAACGATACTCTCCAAAGAATTTTGGGGAAGTATTGTCATCCACACCAACATGACTGGGATCAATTGCTCACAGCCGTCGAGATTGCCTACAACAACACTGTCTGCCCCTCAACTGGCATGTCCCCTTTCTACCTCGACCTTGGCTACCATCCCCGCTTGCCCTTTGATTTCTTGCTTCCCTTGCAGCTTAGCCCCTCCACCCCTTGCCCCTTTCTCAATGAATGGGTAGCAACAATGAACAAACTCCTCAGAGAACCAACCGAAGCCCTTGAAAGAACACAAGAACAACAAGCAAACAAGACTAACAAACATAGACATGACGTGTCATTCAAAGTAGGGGACAAAGTCTGGCTTTCTGCCAAACGCTTTGAACCCGAACAAGGCTTGTCCAAGAAACTCTCGAACAAGTGGCTCGGTCCCTTCCCCATCATTGAACAAACATCTCCCGTGAACTACAAACTTCAGCTTCCACCTGACATGCGTCGCGTCCACCCAGTCTTCCACGTAGAATACCTTAAGGAATACCACGAATCCCCGCCCCAGTTCACTGACCGCCCTTATCCTAAACCTCCACCAATCATGCTTCCAACAGGCCCAGAATTCATAGTCGAATCAATCATAGGACGAAGAACAACTCAAGTATCAGATCACCTGGAACCAATCACCGAATACAAAGTAAAATGGACCGGATACCCTGATGAAGAATCAACATGGGAACCCCTTGATAATCTCAAGAATGCCATGAAACTTGTTTGTGCCTATGATCGTGCCTACCCTGTATCCTAACTATACCCCGACATAAACCCTAAACCCTCGCTTAAAACCCTGCTACAACCTCGCAACCCTGCTCTACACACACGCTTGAACCCAACCCACCCTCCCCTCGACCCTGNAAAACCCTGCTACAACCTCGCAACCCTGCTCTACACACACGCTTGAACCCAACCCACCCTCCCCTCGACCCTGATTCCTGATGTCTGATCTGCCCTTGCCCTCGCCTAGCCTTGTCCCATCTGTCCTCTCCACTACCTTGTCTCTCTTGTCCAATGCTTGTGGACCTGCGTGACGCCGACGATAAAGGATCTAATGGCAAACGCACGAGGACGATGGCCAGCTGCCTCACTGATCATGGAGATTATGCAGCTGGTTTGGCCACCATGTTGTTTCATCGGCCGGCATCCCGACTCGCAGACTTATCGGAGCAGCAACTTGTGACACGGATCTTTGCATCAATCCGCGACTTCCTTGCTTCCAGATCAGACCTCATTGCAGTTCGTGTACCGGACGCACCCTAGCACTTGGACGTTGGACATTTGAACTACTGCTACGCTTCTTGGACTCCTACCTGTCGCAGCCGCTAAGGACTGCTTCTACAACCTACTCCAAGACCTGATCAAGACCGCTGCAGATCCCCTTTCAAGACACTTGGACACTTTGTTCCTACATGAGATTTTGCTTCTCACTCCTTCGGACATACCAGCCCCTGCATCCTGAACAAACACTTTCATTTTTCCTGACAACCCTGTAGAACATCATTAGAAAATCCTTGTTCCCCTAACCATTGTCTCCCTTACTCACTAGAACATCAATAGAAATTCCCTGTTTCCCTGACCATTGTTCCCCTTACCCACTAGAACATCAATAGAAATTCCCTGTTTTCCTACACATTGTGTCCCCTTACCCAGTAGAACATCAATAAAAATCCCCTGTTCCATGAACATTTCTTAGCTTCCCCTGTAGACCTACCCAGTTACATCATACCTTCACCTGTGCAGAACATCTGACAGAATACCTTGTGACTTGCATCACTCCCCTTCTCCTTTTCCGACCAGTGATCGGCCTTGTCCCGTCCTTCACAGTTCCTTTTTGTTTCCTTAGGTTTTTGGCAGCCGGGACGTTGCCTTTCAAAGGGAGGGGATAGTGTTACGGACTCCGCCAGGGCTCGACCCCTGGTCTATTTTGTTGCTGTTTTCGCTACATCCCGTTTTTGGCGTGGCACCCTTTTTCCAAACCCCTCCTTTGGTACCATTGGATTTTGGACAACTGGCGCCATGCTACAATTCGGGCGCCACTTTCAAATACCGCATTTTTCAGTTCTGCCCTCGGGGCTTTTGCAGAATGCCCCTGGTACCGTACGTGTCACCGACACTTATACCGGTTCCGCGTACAGTACGGGCAACAAGTCTCGTACCAGTTTCAGCTGCTGTACTCGGACTCAATGTGACTTGCTCCTGTTTTCGGCATTCGGAATCCAAGACTTCGACTTGGTGTCCTTGCCACTGTGTCTGCATCTGACCCTCAGTCGTGTCGAGTGAGTGAGTGAGTGAGTGTGTGTGCTCTCACTCTCTCCCTCCCTCTCCCCTCTTCCTCGGCTCTCCCTGTCTCCCTCAGCCACGCGCTCGTTACACTGTTCCTCAGCCTCGATGAGTACGAGCTGAGCTTGG